AAACTCAACTGAGTTAGGGGCTGGCTTTTTGGAACGGAAGAGTTAGCAGCAGGGGCGAATTCTGGAGGATCTCAACCACTCGGGTTTGATGATTCAACAGCAACGGCAGCAAAATCCTTGGAGATAGGATTTTTGAATCAAGTTCAGAAGATCAAATCTGAAAAGATTCTTCAACAACAGAATACCAGCTTGGTCATTAACCGAATTCTCGGTTCTAACAACTCTATTAACAGAGTTCTAACTCGAAGACGGTCGGATCGTCAACGGAGAGCAAATTCGACGCGAGCAATCGAAGGAGGCATTCCATCGCTACCGAGAAGAACCCAGTTTTAAACAAAGGAGAGAATCAAATTCGTTCTCTTCTTTTTTGTAATCAAGTTGTAATCGGAATCAAAGAAATACAAGTCAATTTTCTTTTGTTCTTTTCATTGCAATTTTTCCAACATACAGGTTGGTTTTCAGAAGGGTGGAAGGCCACCTAAGGCTCAGAAGCTAGAGTTGATTCATACAGATGTATGGGGTCCAGCCAGTGTATCTTTTTTTGGCGGTTCGAGATATTATGTCACCTTCATCGATGATCACTCGAGAAATGTGTGGATCTACTTCATGAAGCACAAGTCAGAGGTGTTTGGAATCTTCAAGAAGTGGAAGGCCATGGTGGAGAATGAGACAAATCTGAAGGTGAAGTGTCTGAGATTAGACAATAGTGGGGAATATGAGCTGGAGGAGTTCAAGAGGTTCTGTGCTACGAATGGTATTCGGTTAGAGAGGACTACTCCAGGGACGTCGCAGCAGAATGGCATTGCAGAGAGGATGAACAGGACCTTGATAGAGCGTGCCAGGAGCATGCGGTTACATGAAGGTCTGCCTAAGACATTTTGGGCAGATGCAGTGCATACAGCAGCCTACCTTATTAATCACGGGCCATCAGTTCCATTAGATTTTGGGATTCCAGAGGAGGTTTGGAGTGACAAGAAGATAAATCTCTCACACTTGCGGGTATTTGGTTGCGTGGCTTATGTTCATATCAGTGACCATGTCAGGGACAAGCTAGAAGCTAAGTCACAGAAGTGCACATTCATTGGATACGACATTGATGTTCGGGTATCACCTTTGGGATGAGAAGAACAAGAAGATCATCAGAAGCAGGGACGTGATATTCAATGAGGAGGTGATGTACAAGAACATGGAAAATGCCAAGGATAGCCAAAGCAGTGGGAGTACCACTACGGATACAGGTGGATCTGAGTACATGGATTTAGAGGAACTTCCAGATAGGGGTGATGATGTTTGTTCTGATCAGAGAATGGAGAAGGCTCCAGGTGCAGAAGAAACTACCCAGGGCGTGGAGCTTAGGAGGTCATCCAGGGTACCCAAACTAAATCCCATATATCTTTTATCTCTTGACTACTTATTGTTGACAGATAGCGATGAACCGGAGTGCTATGAAGAGGCAATGCAAGTGAGTGAATCTCAGCAGTGGGAGCATGCTATGCAGGAGGAGATGAATTCTCTACTCACTAATGAGACATGGGAGTTAGCCCAGCTACCTGCACAGAAGAAAGTCTTACATAACAAATGGGTCTATCGGGTCAAGCAGGAGAGTGATGGAAGCAAGAGAGTCAAGGCCAGATTAGTAGTGAAGGGGTTTCAACAGCGGGAAGGAGTGGACTACACGGAGATATTTTTTTTCTGTTGTGAAACTCACAACCATCAGAGTGGTGTTGAGTTTGGTGGCTGCAGAAGACCTCTTTCTTGAGCAGTTAGATGTGAAGACTGCCTTTCTTTATGGTGACTTGGATGAAGAAAGAAGAGCTTATATGGTTTGAAACAGGCCCCGAGACAGTGGTATAAGAAGTTTGACAACTTCATGCAGAATAATGGCTACAGAAGATGCAATTCAGATCATTGCTGTTATTTTAAAAGGTTCGAGTCCAGCTTCATTATTTTGTTATTATATGTTGATGACATGTTGGTAGCAGGACCATGTTTAGAGGAGATAAATAGTTTGAAGAAGCAGCTAGCAAAGGAGTTTGCAATAAAGGATCTGGGTGCAGCGAAGCAGATTCTAGGGATGTGAATCAGTAGGGATAAAGCTGAAGGGACATTAAGATTGAGCCAAGCTGAATACATTGAGAAGGTACTTCAGAGGTTCAACATGCATAATGCTAAAGTTGTTAGCACACCCCTTGGAAGTCAGTTCAATCTATCTGAGGAGCAATCACCTAAGACAGATACAGATAGAGAGCATATGAGTAGGGTGCCATATTCTTCGGCCATTGGGAGTCTCATGTACGCGATGGTTTGCACGAGGCCGGACATCGCCCATGCAGTGGGAGTTGTGAGCAGATTTGCAAGCAATCTAGGGAAGCAGCATTGGGAGGCCATGAAGTGGATAATGCGGTACTTGAGAGGGACAACGAACAATCCATTATGTTTCAGGAGGAAGGAGTTGGTGCTGCAGGGATACGTGGATGCGGACTTCGCCGGTGATCATGATACGAGACGAAGCACCACGGGGTATGTTTATACCTTAGCGTCGATAGCAGTGAGCTGAGTCTCATGTCTGCAGAAGATTATGACTTTGTCTACAACCGAGGCTGAGTATATCACAGTGACTGAAACAAGCAAGGAGATGATCTGGTTGAACGGGTGCTTGGAAGAGTTGGATCTGAAGCAAGGGAGAGGAGTTCTTTATTGTGATAGCCAGAGCGCTATACATCTTGCTAAGAATCCAGTATATCATGTCAGAACGAAGCATATCGATGTCAAATACCATTTTATACGCTCCCTAGTTGAAGACGGAAAGTTACATTTGATAAAGATTTTGGGGAGTCAAAATCCGGCGGACATGTTGACGAAGGCGGTCACCATTGAGAAACTGGAGTTGTGCGCAACTTCAGTTGGCCTTCACGAGTAGAAGACGAAGGCGGAGCCACACTATGAGGATTTGCGAGATCGCTGGGATGTTAATGATTGAAGAATGGATTTTTCAAGTAGGAGAAGATGCTTGCGAGAAGGCGGAGTTCGGGAGAGCTCATTGATGGTGGTTTGATCTCCAAGTGGGATATTGTTGGTCTTGAAAGTGGAGACCTAAACCTAGAATCAAAATCAACAATCGCATGAAAATTCAAGACAGACCATGAGTGTGGTCTACACCACACCAGGGTGTGGTCTGCACCACACCAGGGTGTGGCAGAGTCTGCCCTGTCTGCTATGGGTGTGGTCTGCGCTACACCAGGGTGTGGCAGACTCGTTTTAGAATCTTAATCTGTTTGGGACTGTGTTTTGTTATAAATAGAAACACGTCCCTTTAGGGTTCAAGAGAGAAAAAGAGCACGAAAAAAGAGTGTTTTGAGGGCTCTTTGAGGTTAGAAATCTTAGAGAGAGAGAGACCAATTGTAAGCATTGTAATATTCTTCAAGTAATCAAAGAATTGTGTGGTGTGGCTCCCGAGGACGTAGGCACGTTGCCGAACCTCGTTAAATCTGGTGTGTTCTTTCTTGTTTACTTTCCTACAAGTTTTTATATTTGATTTGTGGTGAATTTCATCTGGTGTGTTCTTTCTTGTTTACTTTCCTACAAGTTTTTATATTTGATTTGTGGTGAATTTCTTTCTTTCTCAACTCTCAAACACAAGATCCGGAAGGGTACAGATTTGATTTGATTATTTCGAATCCCCAACAGTATGTGCCGTGCACCCATTTAATCCAAAGAATATCTTTTTTGAGGTGTATCATCCAAAGTAATTTAGCTGCTGTTGCATAATTCCAGAGCTTAGCTGAGAATAATCCCAAGCCACCATGATTTATGTCTTGACAAACAGAGCTCCAAGATACCAGGTGGATTTTGTGTCCCCAAAGGAAATTAGATCACATGCTATCAATCCTTTCTAGCACCTTAACAGGAAGAATGAAATTGCTTGTCCAGAAAATTTGAATACCCAAAATGACTGATTTTATCATTTGCAACCTCCCAGCATAAGACAGAGACCTTATATTTTGCCAATTTTGAAACTGATCTGATATCTTGCTGATGAGAGGAGAACAATCAAGCCATGAAAGCCTTTTAGAAATGAGTGGCATCCCCAGATATTTTATAGGTAAAATCCCCTCTGAAAAATTAAGACAGTCACAAATCTGACTCTTCAGATTATCATCAATCCCACTCATAAAAATCGAACACTTAGAGGGATTAGGATTCAATCCAGAGACCTGACTAAACTCCATTAGGTAGTCCCTCAATCTTGATATTGAGTACATTTCTGCTTTGCTAAACAGGAGGAGATCATCCGCAAAGATTAGATGTGATATCTTCATTCTTGAACACTTGGGATGAAATTTAAACAGTCTATCATTCTTAAGAGTGTTTAGCTTCCGAGATAAATATTCCATTCCAATAACAAACAAATATGGAGAAATAGGATCACCTTGTCTTAATCCTCTAGCTCCTTGAAAATAGCCATGGAATATTCCATTTATGGATATGGAAAATTTAGGAGTAGAAATGCATTCCATAATCCAAGAAGTCATGATATCAGGGAATCCTAATCCTTTCAACATAGATCTTATAAAATCCCAATTAATGGTATCAAATGCTTTCCTCAAATCAATATTCAAAACAGCTCTAGGGGAAGTGTGCTTCCTACCATAGTGTTTGACTATTTCATGAGCTAGAAGAATGTTGCTAGATATTAGTCTACCTATAATAAAAGCACTCTGAGCATCGCTTATCAAGTATCCCATTACCTTTTGAATTCTAGATGCTATGATTTTAGTAATGATTTTTTATATACAATTGCAACATGATATTGGCCTGTAGTCTGCAGCATACTGAGGATTGAGGATTTTTGGAATCAATGTGATGGAGGTAGGTTTAATGTACCAAGCAGCTTCCCAGAGCTAAAAAATTCCTCCACTGCTGCATAAAGTTCTTCTTTGATAACATTCCAAGATGCCTTGAAGAAGAGAGCACTATAACCATCTGGATCAGGGCTTTTGTCATTTGACATAGAAAAAACTGCTTGTTTTTGTTACTGGAAGGCTGAGCATTTGTCTCTGTTCAGGTGAGAGCAGAGGCCCATTTGCTATCACTTCTGGATCAGGTGTTGCAGTAAGAACAGAAGTACCCAATATCTTTTTGTAGTAATCAATAATTTCTGTAATTATTTCAGATCTGTCAGTAATTCTAATCCCATTGTCAGTGTATAGAGTCAAAATTCTGTTAAGATGCCTTTTCTTCTTCATGATAGAATGAAAAAACATTGATCCCTTATCCCCTTGCAAGCTCCAGTTTATGTTAGCTTTCTGTTTGTAGTAAGAAGATTCACAATCAATCAATCTGTCATATTTTTTGATGCATTCTTTTTCCCTTGCAATCAAATCTGAGTTGAAAAGATCATCATTTAATTGCCTTTGAATATCAGCTAAATCTTCCTTAGCTCTACACACTTGTTCACTTATATTCATGAAGTGATTTTTATTTAGCTCTTTAAGGGCATGTTTAAGTCTTTTGAGCTTTGTGTGAAACCTGAACATTTTGTAGCCTTCACTGTTTTGCACCCATATAGAATTTACTGTTGAGATAAAATCTGGATGCTTCACCCACATATTGAAGCACTTGAATGGCCTTTTACCCTCAAAATTATCATCTTCAATGGTTAATAATGCCGGAGAATGGTCAGAGCATTTTGGCATGAGATATTCCACCTGACTTGAGGTGTATAAGTGTATCCAATTCTCATTAACCAAGCACTTATCCAATCTAGTCCAGATTCTGCTTTCAGCCTCTTGTTTGTTACACAAGTGTAGTAACAGCCAGTAGATCTTAAATGCAATAGCTGACTAGTGTTGATGAAGCTTTGAAAATCCTCAATGTCAGCTTCAGTAACTGGTAACCCTCCAATTTTCTCTTTACAACTTGTAATAGCATTGAAATCTCCACCAATAATCCATGGACTATTAACATTTTGCTTTAAAGTTAGTAAATCCCTCCAAAGATTTTTCATGCTTGTCATTTGGTTTAAAGCATAGACTATAGTGCATAGACTGGTAAACCTTCCATCTCTGGATTCAATAGTGCATGTAATGAATTTCTCTGATAAAATAACATTTTTGACTGTCAAAATATCACTATCCTAGAGAATCCATATTCTACCATTTCTAGCTTCTTGCACATTAGAGCCACCAAATAGTGACTCGCACAGTCCCGAGCCACCAGGACTCTTATTAAGTACAAAACATCCCCAAACACGGATTTCGATGATTTTTAAGGATTCTTTCATCCTAGAACCTCCCCAACTGTTTTAAGGTTATCCCTAGACACGTTTGAGTGGTTATTAACTACAGATAACATTTAAACACAAATTCTTATCCAAAGACACATCTCCAAAAGCCTATAAATAGAAGCCTAGGGTCTTCTTTCAAGAGGATCTGAAATTGAGAAGGCGAGGTGCTGTCAAATTGCCCAGTTAACCACGAATTTCAGAGAAGAGTTATCAGATCTTGGCGAACACTTTCATAAAGAAAGCCCTTCGAAAGGTTTGTGATTCTTTCCCCTTCTTTCCTCCGGATTAAACTTGGTTTTAATCTCGAGAAGAGCAACAATCTCGCTTGGTCGTGATTGTCGCTTCCGCAATTGTTTCCTTCGTGAAACAAGAGCGTAATTATACCGTCAATCGGGTTGATCTTGTAGGCGTATAAAACTGCTTATAGGTCCCTTGACACAGCTCGGCGCGATGATTCGACAAATCGACGAACGTTCAAGCAACGAAACGAACTAAAGAGGCTACAAAGCTAACGAACTGCATGTGAACAACGTTAGTGGTTCGGGGAGTCGACGGGTCTTCCAACAAAGTGGATTTGAACTCAAACACCGACTGAGTTTACTGCCAAATCCGGAATCAAGTCAACAAATCAACAAAACAACCGAACAACGGACAAAACAACCGGAAACAACGGAAAACGACAAAACCAGCGCACCTGGGGGAACTCGGCCCGAACCGAACCACCCTAAGGTGGCTCGGCCCAAGCCGAGCCACCCTAGGGTGGCTCGGTGGCCGAGCCACCCCAGGGTGGCTCGGCCAAACCGAACAACGAACAAAACAACCGGAAACAACGGAAAACGACAAAACCAGCGCACCTGGGGGAACTCGGCCCGAACCGAACCACCCTAAGGTGGCTCGGCCCAAGCCGAGCCACCCCAGGGTGGCTCGGCCAAGGCCGAGCCACCTAGGGGTGGCTAGGCTCAGAACTGTGCAAACGCACAGTTCTGAGAGCCTATAAATAGGCCTGGTACTCGTTCATTTGGAGGACTTCTTCTGAAACTTTGGAGAGAGCCGAAACTCTGCCGGATTGTCACCTCAACTCGGAGATCTGAAGGCTTGAAGACTTGGAGACCCGGATTTGATTCTTAGCGAGCACCCGCACCGAAAAAGGCAGGAGTTCGAGAGAGTCTAATCCTCAGATCTACGTCGTCACACTCCGGATCTAAGCTTGGTTCTTAGATCCCGAGATTCGAGCGGTCGTTTCCTTGGTGAAACGATCCCTCCCGGCTATTATCTCCTTGGTGGGATAATACCCGTAATACGTCGTAGATCTGCTTGGATCCAGATCACGCGGTGGTCCACGGTAAGCAACCCCGGCGCAGGCAAACAACCCACAGAAGCAAGAGACCGGATAACAGGATCTTGTGATTTGTTCGGTAAAAGAGAGAAGTTGTAATTTTGATTTCTTTGTTTTATTTTGATTTTCATTGTAAGCCGGATCTTATAAAAAGACCGGATCTCTTTGTAACGCATAAAGTTGTTAACTGAGTGCAATGGAATCGATAATGAAGAAAACACCAACTTTCCCCGCGAACATGAAGTATGGGGGCTGCTTCCGTCAAGAAGGACTTTATGAGACTAGCATCATAGGGTTGCATCCAGTCTTCATGAATGAGGATGCATTGGTTAACGAAGTTACTGTCATCCCAAACACCTTTGGGAATGAACTTGTCAAAATCGATGCCCAATGTCCGGATGGGAATGCCAGATTTCTCAGTTGGGTTAGATCGACGGATACCCAGTAGTAGACTCGCTTGATAGACTTCGCCCTCATCACCTTTGAGGAACGATTGCAAGAATCAAGACTCACTTGATTACAATAAGTACTTCTTGCTGCTGATATGTTTCAGTTTGTAGCAACGGGGACACTTCTTGTTTAACGACTTCTTCTCATCCCTTGGCATAGGGTACAGAGACGAGTAAAGGGAAATTTTTTATTTTCCTAACCTCATGAGGTTAGAGTAGTACGAGCTATAGCTTGGTGCATCTTGTGTATGCTCCTCAGCCATTACCCTGTCCATATCTTAGAAATAAGAAAATAGCAACAAGTACTCATCATCCTTATAGTTGGGTAGTCTTGAATGTCACCTTCATGTAGTAGAGTCTTCGATCAATAAAAATAAACTTTTCTTCATGTTGAAATTGTCCATCTTTTGTGCACTTGATCTGTTCATACTTCTATAGCGAATTTGAACTTTGCATGGCCTAATCTCTACATAGAGTCATCATATTTAGAAGTGAAGCTCAGGCTTCCTTGTATTAGTGAGAGTCAATTCACGAAATAATGTCTTAAACAAGCTGAATTAAAGCCTTACTCAGCTTAGGGACTTAGTGAGTTTTGCCAAGTCATTTTGGCGAGGTTCACTATGTAAAGCCTCAAACAAATTGAGTTATGATTTTCTCAAATTGAAAACTTAGTGAAATCCATTATGATGTTTAGGCGAGGCTCGTCTTTAGTGCCTTGTTGAATTGGATGAGGTTCACTCACTGAAGAATTAGTTATTTTAGTGAGGCTCAGTAAGTCGGTTAGGTGGAGCTCAGCCTAAGGATATAAACTTTAGGCGAAGATCGTTCATGAGAGATTCAAGGCGAAGTTTGAGGCTAAACTTTTTTGTGAAGTTCGTGGCGAAATCTTCAGCGGAGTTTGTTGGCGAGATCTTCGGCGAAGCTTGATCACCAGATATTTGGCGAAGTTTAGGGCGAGAAATCTTGGGTGAAGTTCGGAGGTTTTAGCCTATAAATATGATTGCTTGCCTCCCTCTTCTTCACTTTTGATTTCAAAAATTTGCCTACTATCCTTCAAACTCTAACTTTCTCAAAGTTCATCATCAATGGCTCCTCATCATGCTATTTTTAGGGGAAGAGGCTCTGCTCTAGGGGCTCGTTAGCTAAGAACTGATGAGGCGCTAGCTCAGCTAAAGATGGCCATGGGTAAGCATCAAACCCATCAATGGCGATCTTCGGATCGACCTTAGTCCCAGCCCATCGGGTTTTAATCAATGGTTGACACATTGACCAGCATTGACCTTCGTTGTGACATGAATATAGTTTATACTCATACGTTAACGGGAGTCTACACAGTTTAAGTTCTTAAGGCGTTGGAGCATGAAGGAGCAGTTTATTCTTATATACTTCTTGGAGTTTAGGAAAAACAAGTTGAGAATGCATCGGAGGCTCGCCAGGTTGAGCTCTTTGTATGATATTTGATTGTAAGACCAACAGTTAGTGTTGATACAGCTACTATCTCTGAAGCTACCCCAGGTGTTCGAGTCACAAGACCAACTGATGAAGCTATTGCGTTAGTGACTATCAGAGCTTCCCAAGGCTTTAACTACTACCATAGACTCCATAAAAGCTAATTGAAGGTGGAGCTTGTACGAGCTTTGTGAAGAGAAGCTCTCCGAACTAGAAGAGTGAATCCGTCATCGCAAGTTGCTTATCTAAGCATAACAGAATTTTTGGCAAACCCTCAGCCATCAACAAATTTGATGAGCCTTTACCGAGTACCGTTTGAGTCAGGCTAGCATGTAAATTGTCTAAGTCCGTTTCATATATAATATTGTGCTAAAAGAGTAAACTCTTTTAGACTTGGTGCTATGATATTGAATACATAGACTCTCGTCATTTTCATGGGAAATGACTAATCGGTAACACGTGTTAGGCATAGGCTTATATTTAATTAGGGATCAAGATAAAGCCCTCCATACGTGTGAGGTATGGATTTTGGTGTTATTAATAACAACCTGTTACGATATTGAATACGCAGACTCGTCATTTTCATGGGAAAAGGACTAATCGATAACGCATGTTAGGCGTAGGCTTATCTCTAATTAAGGTTCGAGATAAAGTCCCCCGTGTGTATAAGGCATGGATTTTGGTGTTACTAATAACATCCTACTACGTTATCAAAAACATAGACTTTGCCGTTAATGCGAGAATAGATCACTCGATAGCATGTGTTAGATGCAGACTTATCTCTAATTAGGGATCAAGATAAAGTCCTCTATGCTTGAGAGGCATAGATTCAGTTATTATTAAGTTGATAATAACAACTGGATACACATGTGGACTGGCTACACGTATAGACTTTTGGAATTTGGTCTTCTCTTGGGGCAAAGACGAACCCATTTTGTCTTCTCTTGGGGCAAAGATGAACCCTATTTTGTCTTCTCTTAGGGCAAAGACGAACCATGTTTTGTCTTCTCTTAGGGCAAAGACGAACCTGTTTTGACTTCTCTTGGGGCAAAGACGAACCCTGTTTTGTTTTCTCTTGTGGCAAATACGAAGCCGTTTTGTCTTCTCTTCGGGCAAAGACGAACCCATTTTGTCTTCTTTTGGGGCAAAGATGAACCCTGTACTGGAGAGGAAGAATTTTATATTCTATTTCCTGCTTGTCTGCTCTTGGGGCAAAGACGAACCCTATGTTAGAGAGGAAGAATTTTATATTCTATCTCCTGCTTGTCTTCTCTTAGCCAAAGACGAACCCTGTGCTGGAGAGAAAGAAATTTATATTCTATCTTCAACTTTAAAAGAAACTCAAAATGGGATCTCCACTTTGAGAATCTGAAAGGTGAAACTAAGAGTGGGATCTCCACTCCAAGAATCAAAAAAGATTCGGAGAATCAATAAAGATTCGGAGAATCAAAAGAGATTCGGATAACCCTAACTGTCGGAAGGTTTGATTATCCAAT